GCTGGATGGAAGCCACCCACGGGCAGCATTTGGCCCACAGGACTTGAACACGTGTGAGACATGTGTGCCTAAAAAAATCAATTCATATGAAATTCACGATTATTCTTTAAAATGATTCAAAATCAATATAAAATGTCATGAAATCAAATAAAAAGAATAAAACAACAACAAAAAAAAAACAAATAAAACACTTTAATGTCTCTATTTGTCATTTTGCGTTGCAAAGCAGATTAAAGGAAATCATGAGGATACTTTGCACATCTATAGATAGAACAGAAATCATTATGTTATTATTGTCAACTATAATTTGAAATGTTTATTTGTAAGTTGTGTAACGAGCCAGCAGCGAGTTATTTAAAGACTCAAATCATAGAGCTCACCTGAATTAACGAGGCTGATGAGAGGGTTGTTGGGAGAGAGGCTGTTGTTCCTCTGAAGCCTCCGATTGGAGCGACGACCCGACAACTGGATGGACAAAACCTCCGGCTTCAAGGGGCCCTGTCTGCGACCAGATAAAAAATATTTCCTCAACATCACAACAGGTTAGTGTTTATTAAACGAAAATAACGCTAAAATCATTTTAACACCTCTTATTGTGCTCATTACTAAAACACATCAAAAACCACAGGATGATTTTAATGAAACTTTCAACAAGTTCAAGCAGCCGACTTGTTGCAGGGCGTGTGGGGTTCCTGTTTTCCTCTCTGACAGCTGACAGAGCTCTGAAGCTCCGGCAGATTTGTTTCAGCTGAAAATACATTCGTTAAAACCCCGGAGTTGTCCTGACTTCTGCTATATTTGTACACGGTGCCGAGCCGACGGTGAAGCTAATGTCAGTGACAAGGTGCTTGTTCCCACGGGGTGACATCACCTGAGATTTATCCWGCTGCTGTCAGGTTGTTCGGGCCGGGTTTTTTGAAAAGACTGCAGGGTTTCTGAGGGGAACACAGTGTGCACGCATATTTTATGTGTGTTCCAGGGAGAATATTTTTAGCTWTCTTTGATTCTTCTTCATCTCTCTGTGTGTTTTAATGTGTTCTTTTTTAGATTAATGATAAAAATAAGCAGTTTGGACAGTGTGTAAAAGATTTTTTATTACTACACTTCAATGCTTTTACGGTTCAGCACTTCAAAAAGTTAGATTTTTGCTTGAAGTTATATCTAAAAATGTGATTAAAAAAGCTACAATTTTTACTTTTTTTTCCCTCAGAGTGCATTGTTATTATTTTACTGGACATCTCAAACCTAATGAGATAATAAAACCCTAAAGGTGACGAGCTTGCTCTGCTCAAATAAAAAAGAGCTTACCGCATTTGTGATTTCGTTAAGAAGAGAGCGGCTGTGGCATGTGACACGACTTATAGGAGTATTTATTTTTAAAGTTGCCTTCTCAGCCTGGCAGAAATGCAGCGTAAAATATTCACAAACTGCAGGATCTATGGAGGGGGAGCGTTAGGAATTTCATGTCTGCTGGTGATCCACAGCTAAAACTGTCAACTTAAACAGAGGAGAATGAGGTTGAAAACTGGAGAATAAAGTTTAAGAAAAAGGGAAACGAGGACTAAAATCTAACGTTTCATCTTAAAGTTCAGATTTTATTGGAAGAAGGCAAATCAGTGCAACAAAAACCATCAAATTAGGTTTATTTGTTGAGTTACTTTATTAAAACCTAACATTTCTTGAATGGATACATATTTATATTTTAGACAAAGTCATATTAAAGTTTGATAAACTTGAAAAGTTAAAAATCTATCAATTGTATGC